CATTTTTTTATTTAGTTCAAAAAATTAATTTTTAACTATACTTTTTTTAAACAATAAATTTTATTTATTTTTATTTTTTAAAATTAAAAATTTAACCTAATATATATACATACATACAAGTGGAAAGTCAAAGTTAGAATAGGGTGGAAAAGATCAAAATTTTGGCCCAAATGAAGCGGGCCGAATCTAAAATTGCCATTTTGATTTATAAAATTTTCAAATAAAAATTATAAAATAAAAATTGTCAAATGGGCTTTAATAGTACGGTTCCAAATGAAGGAGTTGGGAGAATTAAAGCACTTTCTTGTACTTGAAGTGGATCGGACAAAAGAAGGCAGATTCTTCTGTCAGCAAAAGTATGCATCAGACTTATTAAAAAGGTTAGGGATGCTTGAGTGCAAGCCAATCTCAACTCTAGTGGAGATGAATGCTAGACTTTGCTCCTGTAAAGGGATGGATTTAGTAAGTGCCACCATGTACCGGCAACTTGTTGGAAGCTTAATCTATCTAACTTTATCAAGGCCGGATATATCATTTGCAGTATGAGTGGTGAGTAGATTTATGCAAAATCCTAAAAAGCCACACTTGGAAGCAGTACTCCGGATTCTCAAGTATGTTAAAGGAACACTGGATTATGGCATATTGTACAAGAGTGGCACTGAGTGTAAGGTGGTTGGCTATTGTGATGCTGATTATGATGGATGTCATGATACAAGGAGATCCACTACTGGTTATGTGTTTAGTTTGGGATTTGGAGCGATCTCATGGTGTAGCAAGAGACAACCTGCTATTTCTTTATCAACCACTGAGGTAGAGTATAGAGCAACAGCTATGGCAGCCCAAGAAAGCACCTGGCTTATGCAAATAATGGAAGACTTGAAGCAGCCAAGTGATTATTCAGTAAAATTGTATTGTGATAATCAATCAGCAATTCGACTAGCAGAAAATCCAGTGTTTCATGCTAGGACAAAACATGTTGAAGTTCATTACTAGCTCATCAGAGAAAAGGTACTACAAGAGGAGATAGACATGCAAGCTACAAAAATAGATGAGCAAACTGCAGATATATTCACAAAAGGGCTCAATGCTGGAAAGCTTGAAAAGTTTTGCAAGCAGCTCGGGATCATGCCAAGAAGTAAAGTCGGTGCTGAGGGGGAGTGTTAAAGTATTCATCACCGACTTGAGATCTAAAAGGTGATGAAGTAAAAGTCTTCTAGAAGCAAATTTTTTACTGCAAAGTAAATTGAAGCCACACAAGAATATATGATGGAGAGAAAGCCACGTTAGTTGTGTGTCTAGATTTTGTATGTATGGTAAATTAAAATATTGTAAACAAAAAGAATACTCTAGAATATGCACAATTGGTGTACATCATTGAGTTTTGGAAGTATGAAAAGCAGAATTGAAGAAGAAAACAGTGTGTGTGCGTGAGTTCAATAGAAAAAGGTGTTCTGCTATTTCCTCTTTTGGTCAACACAAAAAGGCCCCAGTAGTTTCTGTAGACAAATCTCAAAGAAAGTAGAAATTGAAGTCCAGCTTCAAGAAAAACATGATGGAGAAGATACCAAATTTCTACCCAAACTCGTCAAAACCTATTGTAGGTGAATTGGTCTTTGATAATGTTATCACAAATTGCAACAAGGGGCCTAAACTTAGATGCAAACAAAATATGGAGGAAGAAATCTGGAATTTTGGTAAGGCTATTGGGATAGTGGCAATTGGAGATGAGAATGAAATTGTCAAGCAAATTCAGTCTATGGAAGAAAGAGATAAAAATAGCTTGATCCCAGCACATGATATGCATGCTGAAGGCATCAGAAAGTGAGTAACATAGCCTCATGATAATATTGTCATGCAATACAAGAGGTTTGGGGGGGATCGGGAATGAAAAAGGAGGGATCTTATATGGAGGGAGAGGATTGAGTTTGCAGCACTACAAGAATCAAAATTGGAGACTATTGATAAGCAACTGTGTAGAAGATCATGGGGTGCAAATGATTTGATTTTGTTGTCAAATCCTCAAATGGGCAATCAGGTGGATTAATATTTATTTGGAATAGTAGAATTGTAAATAGAGCAGATAGATCGAAGGTGAAAACTTTTTGGGGGGTTTTTGGTTTTTGGGGAATTGAGGAGATTCTAGTGTACCTAATTAATGTTTATGCTTCGTGTGATGTTGCAGGACAAAGACAATTATGGAGGGAATTGCAATCAATGATCTCTGTATATGGTGGAAATTGATGCGTCATGGGTGACTTTAATGCCACTATGAACCAGCATGAAAGATCTGGGAAGAGAAGCCTTACAAGTACAACTATTGATTTTAAGAATTTCACTAGGAAATCTAAACAGTTAGACTTACCCTTAATAGGAAGGAAATTCCCTTGGTATTAGTTAGACTTGTTATCTGAAGAATGGTTGATAAATTGGTCAGAAATGAAACATTGGGGGCTTAGACGTTCAGTATCAAATCACGGCCCCATCTTACCAATAAACTAGCTAATGAATTAAGAACCAAAGCCCTTCAAGTGCTACGATGATTTGATGAATGATCCTAGATTCAAAGAATTGGTTGTTGAAGTTTGGAAGTCTACAAAGATGCAAGGCTGGAAAGGGTTTATCCTAAAAGAGAAGCTGAAGTTAGGATCAAGGAATGGAGCTTGATGGAATTCTCCAAGATTGATCAAAAAATTGAAGAGACCACAGAAGTGATTAAAACAATAGATTTAAAAGGAGAGCAAGGGTAATTCACGGAAATAGAGGTGGATGAAAGAAAGCAACAATTCTTGAACTTACGGGAAAACTTAAAAATCAAAGAAGGCATGTGGAGACAGAGAGCGAGGAAAGTATGGTTGAAAGATGGAGATGCAAATACTTGGTTTTCTAACTAGTCTACTTTGACTACTGATGACACACCCAATGTATTGGAGCCAAATTCTCATCAGACGTGCACAGGGAGCCTTTTGAGGAAATTTATAACACACAGCCTATACTTCAGCCAACACTTACCATCGACGTGCACTACGACGTTTGGATGACTTTGTTTGTAGCATGCTTCTATCCATTGATCCTAATCAAGCTCTAGTCCACTTCGCTAACTCAAGTACTATCTATCCTATTTCTAATGATGTGTCATATGCCTCATTTTCCCTTAATCATCAAGCTTATCTAGTGGCCATCACCTCCTTAATCATCAAGCCACAAACATTTTCACAGGTTGTCAAGAGTGAAAAATGGAGGGAAGCAATGAGAAAGGAGATCAATGCACTTGAGCAAAATGGATCTTGGACACTTGAGTCATTACCTCTAGGTAAGCGAGCTATGGATTTCAAAAGGGTTTACAAGATTAAATACAAGCACGATGGGACAATAGAACATTATAAGGCAAGGCTTGTGGCAAAGGATTTCATGCAAATAGAGGGGCTGGACTATCACAAAACTTTTGCCCATGTGGCTAAGCTTGTTACAATTCGAGTTTTGCTTGCTGTTGCTTCCGTGATCATGACTTTGAAAAAAGAAGGAAAAGGAATGGAGACTGTGTTGTTGAGTTGAGAGGGGTAGCTTTAGGAAGAGAAAAAAATTGTTTCTAGAATCATTGGCAAAAGAGTCACTCCATAATTTTAAGTGTGGCAATAACCCCACCAGTTTGTTTGCCTCACGAAACTGCTACAAGCCTACTTGGTTAGTCCTCCACAATTTAAAACTAGATTAAACACAGTATGTTCATAGCATATAGCTTACATATACCACTCCCCATCAGAGTAATTACTGGTTCTAATCTCTGCAACTATATCGAGTTACATCATATCACGAATGTTTTAGGAACGTATATAAATATTTCAAACCTGAACTGTTGGACTCTTACCTATTAAAAATAATAAGGATGCATCCTCTGTTAATAGAGCAAGGGAGGTATTTAAATTTATTACAAATGTCTATCTTTATAACACAGTCATCTGATCAATTAAACCACTGATCACCAGTACAATTTTATAATAAATACATTAAATGAAATATAATAAAGAAAAACAAGAGCACACAATATCACAAACAGCGATCCTCTCCTCATTTTGAACCACCATCTCCTATTGAAACCTGAGCATACATTCTTTCCGTATTTCCAGTATCTTCTCCTATTAAAGATGTATCGACGAAAAGTTGAGCCATAAATCTCAACAAAAAGAGGATATTGTAGCAATATAAACAAAGTGACAGGAATAGCGGCAAGAAATATTATTGAAATGGCTATCCCCATTTCCTCATGTAGCATCATGTAAAGAGTAGCACAAAATGCCACCATCATTGCTGCAATAGAGATGAAGAGCAAAGAAAGGCCACAAATCAACTTAATGGGTAACGATGTATGGAAATCTTGACAAGCATAACGAGAAGTGAGAATCCCCATAAACATTAGCACTGAGCTGGATGCAGCGAGAAGAATAATTGCATCTGATACTAAAAATACCGTGCATGCTTCGATAGCAAACGATGTTTCAGGATTGATTTTGTTTAAAAATTTGAGGAAGCCTGTTTCGTCATCGTTACCACCAGGAACAGTAAAAGGCGCAGCAAACATAATGGTGATAACGAGAGCACCTACGATGTTACAAGATTGTGCCATTTTTTTCATCCATCCTTCGGCTTCTTTTACCAAATTCTTGTGTTGTTTATAAAATGCTTGGGTAGGAGTTTCACCATCTTTATTTTTCTGTTTGTTGAACTGTGGAACAACGCTTTCCACTGACTGCGCATTTGTTTCGTAAATTATAGATGGTAATTGAGACACTATTAGTTAATTTGAGATAACAAACTTACTTAAAAATGAGATTACCTTGAACCAGTGTAGTTCAGTTCATTTTGCAACTGCAAAGCTGCAGCGGGGATGTGAATGTAGTTGAGAATGAGGAGCTAATCGTGCAGCTATATGTAATATATTGTTCTGATCTTGATCGGTGGCAGTAACCATATTTGTATCCTTCCTTTCACCAAATGCATCATAAAGAAAGCGTGCAACTTTCTCTTGACGATGTGCTACAACATGTGCAAACATGTTTCTTCGGGATCTGGATTGCTCCATAATATACTGCCATTAGGTTTTTTTAATAATTCAATTACAATCTCAGGGATGTCATTCTCGATAGCCCGATAGGTTGCTTCCACTGCTCCACTTTGCACGAATTGGTTCTCATCTAAATTTGATAATGACTCACATATGAAACGAATAATCTCATGGGCATACTCATCCATCAACTTCAACTCATATTTTTGAAATAATGACAAAACCAAAAAAGAAGAAGAAGAAGAAGAAGAAGAAAAACCTTATGTTTGCTTTATTTCTACGAAGAATAATCAAGATATAGCACAAAAATGAAGGAAAAAAAAATTAGAGAGAGAAAGAAATGTTCATTGTGCACGTTGTTGCTTACCAAAGATCAGTAGAGGCATTTTCTTGTAAGGGCAAAACTTATTTTTATTAAATTTTGAGTACAAGGGGCATTCTAACCTATACATAGCAATTCAAGTAAATAAATTGATGCTCAATCAAAAGCCCATTCAAAATTTAAGTTGCCTACCCTTATCGTGGAAGACCTGCCTTTGTTGCAAACACCATTCCATAAAAGAGATATACTTAAACCCATTCCATCTTTTGCACCATAGATATGCTTTGGTCTGAACTAAATCAAATAATCTATCTTCACTGATGACCTTGTTTCTAAAAACATGCTCATTCCTGCATAACCAAACTAACCATACTACTGCAAACCACACCACCTTCCAGCAAGCCTTGACAATTTTTGGCCCCCTAACCCACTCATGTTGTAAATACACTTCTTGGCAATCATTACTCAATACAGAACTTAATCCCCACCATCTAAAACACTTTTGCCATAAATTATAAGCTATCTCACATGAAATAAACAAGTGATTTTCCTCCTCTTGTTTTTTACCACAAAGCCCACATACAAAATGTTGCTCATTTACAAGAATTCCTCTTCTAAATAGATTCATTCTTATAGGCATTTTTTTCAATAAAAGCTGCCATGCAAATGTTGTTACCTTGGAGGGAGTCTTGGATTGCCACAACTGTGAGAATAGTCATTGTGTGATATCTTGTTCGCAATTTGCTAATAAGGAATAAGCTGATCTTACTGAGTATTTGCTGCTTGTATCCCATTTCCAATTCCAATTATCTTTTCCACACGCAGTTGGTGCTAATCCATCAATCATATTTGAAAGGTCCCTTATCAATTGTTCTTCCCATGCATGTAACCTTCTCCTCCATTTCAAGTTCCCTAAAGAAAACCCCTTCTTAAATTGTCAATCACAGAAATAGCACTCTTAGGCATATGGAACATAGACATAAGAAAGACCGGCAAGCTAGATAGCATGGAGTTTATGAGAGTAATTCTTTTGCCCATGGACAGATATCAACCCTTCCAATTTTCCAATTTCTTCTTCATGCCTTCAATAAGAGGTTTCCAAGTTTTTGCCCTCCTTGGGTTTGCTCCAATTGGAACACCCAAGTATTTAAAAGGTGGGTTTGCTCCAATTGGAACACCCAAGTATTTAAAAGGTAAAGCACCCACCTCACAATTAAGCATAGTTGCCATTTTGGTTAACTACAACCCATCCACATTGATCCCCAATAGCAAGCTCTTTCCATAATTTATTTTCAGTCCTGAGACCAACTCAAACGATCTCATAACACATTTAGTTGTCCAAATATTCTCCTCTGTCACCTTACCAATTATAATTGTCTCATCTGCAAACTGCAGATGGGAAATGTTAAGGTTCCCCTTACCAACCTTCACCCCTTCAAACAATCCATTGTTGACTGCTGAGGAAATAACACCATTAATCCTTCCGCAACCATCAAGAACAAGAATGGTGACAATGGATCCCCTTGTCACAATCCTTTGAGAATATTGAACTCTTTTGAGGCCTTCCCATTGATCACAATCGAGACCCTACTGCTTTGTAGGCATTCTTTAATCTAGCTCCTCCATATGTCCCCAAAATCAAATATTTTCATCATGTAATCCAAGAAACTCCAACAGACATTATCATATGCTCTTTCAAAATCTGCTTTAAAAAAAAAAACATTCATTCCCTTTCCTTCTCACCTCCTCAATGGTTTCATTTATCACCACCACACCATCCAGTAATTGCCTTTCTTCAATAAATGCTGTCTATTGCTCCCCAATTAAGTTATGTAGCACTTTCTTTAATCTATTGGCAAGCAATTTTGAAAGGATTTTATACATATATCCTATCAAAGAAATTGGCCTATATTCTTCAATCCTCCGTGGGTTCTCAATTTTTGGAATGAGAATCACAAAAGAGGAGTTAGACCCTCGAACCAATCTACCATGCTTATGAAAATCCCTGATAAATTCCATGATGTCCTTCTTGATTATGTCCCAAACCTCCTTAATGAATTGAAAATTGAAACCATCAGGTCCCGTAGCTTCTATTCCATCACATTCCCACACAGTCCTTCTTACTTCTTCTTCACTAAATGCCTCCACCAACATTTTATTATCAAAGTCAGTCAATTGTTTAAATTGGGTACCTTCTAATAAATGTCTCGACCATCCTTCCTCATCAAATAATTATTTGAAATACTCTACCTCACCATTTTGTATTTCTTGCACTCCATCCAAGGCTCTACCATTGATCACTACTGAGTTTAGCTCATTTCGTCTCCATCTACACTTCATGCACCTGTCAAAAAATTTTGTATTGGCATCTCCATCTTTAAACCATTGTTTCCTAGCTTTCTGCCTGTACATGTTCTCTTTAGTTTTTATGTTATGCCATAATTCTGCCCATAGCTTCTTCCTTCTCTCCACCTCTCCCTCTTCTAGTTGTTGCGTTTCTGCTTTCTTATCAATATTGCCAATCTCCACTTTTGCTAGTAGAATCTTATCATCTAGATTGCCATACTGCTCTTTGCTCCAAGTTTTTAAAAAACATTTTAGCATTTTCAGTTTCTCTTTCAAGCAATAGCCTCCCCAACCATTTACCTCAAAGCTATTCCACATTTTAGCAACTAAATCTTTGAAGCCAAGTGCAAGTAACCAAGCATCAAAAAACTAGAAAGGTTTTGGACCCCAATCCACCTTCACATCCTTCACCAAAACTGGACAATGATTAGATAAGCTTCCACTTAATCCTCATTGTTTAAGATCGCTCCAATTTAGCATCCATCCATCTGTAAATAAGAAGCGATCAAGTCTGCTCATTGCCTTTTCGTTTGAGTGACACCATGTAAATCTTCTTCCAACCGTTGGCAAAACAATTAGCCCCCTTCTGTTAATAAATTCTGCAAATCCACAAACTTCATTATCTGAGCTTGTACATCCTTTTCTTTCCTGATGACTATGTATAGCATTGAAATCTTCCACAACACACCAATTTCCCCCATTATTTTCTATCAGATTCTGCAAAGTTTCCCACACTACCTTCTTCTCCGCAAGCTGACATGGTGAATATACATTCACGATATAGCATGGAACTTTATCTATTCCCCAAAAACCAAAGACCCCCAAAAATCCAGGACCTTCAAACACCTTATCCTTCTTAAATATAGAATTATCCCATATACTAATAATCCCCCCTCACATTCCTATAGACAATTTTGCAGCCCAATCAAAATTCTCAACCCCCCATATTGATCTACAAAGTCTCCTATCCACTGTTTCTAGCTTTGTTTCTTGCAAAAATAAAAAATCAACCTTCTCTTTCTCAACAATCCCCTTTATTTCTCTCCTTTTACCCATCCCTCTCAATCCTCGAACATTCATAGATAACAAAATCATTGAGGACAAAAAGGTACTTGGCCACCTCCCATCTTCTTCTGCTCACTAACCATTTTTCTTCTTGACCTGTCTCAATTCTCCATATCTTCCAGCCTTTGAATTATTTCTTCTTTGTTTTCTCTACCAGTCACACCCATTAATTTTGCTTGCTTCCATAGCTCCTTAGCATCTCTTCTTGATCTTTGAAGCCACACGTTATTGTTATAGTTTAGAATATTCCCATTTGAGATTAATTCTCCTGCTACCTTCTTGGATGGGTCTGGTAAGAATTGCATTTTCTTTTCCTTCTCCAATTCCATCTTCTTATTGCGGCCCTTACCAAATTTTGGTAATTGAAGCACAAGGATCTTAGAATCCTTATACATAGATGCACATGACCTCGCCCTTTTCTTCTTCTGGATTTAGTTGCTTCTCTTTTTTTCATCCAAAATGAGAGTTCACCCGAATAACTTTCCATTCCTACCCAAAATGTTGATGCTTGCCCATTTTCCAAAGCCCTGTTGTCCTCTATTGTTGCCAGCCCATTTAAATAATTTTTAATTGGACTATAGCTTGTAACCACCTTTCCACTAGGCCCATCAATAATATTTAGCCCATTCTCCTTACTATGGTCCCCTTCATTTTCTGAGCCCAATTCATTAGCTACATCAATTATCGCTTCACCTTCTGTTCTACCTTCCTCTAATGAGCTTTCCACTCTGTTTACGCCAAATAATCCACCAAATCTATCTATTCCCGAGGAGGACTGTTGTGTGTTGCAATTTAAATTTTCCTCAATCATGTCGTGGGGTGACACTCTCTGATCTTTCCCTTCCACCTCTTTTGAAAAGTTGTAATTGCCATTACAATTATGATTTCCCAAGTCTGTAATACTCCTTTCAGCTTGGTGTCTCAAGGTAATAGGTGCATCATTACCGCCATTAATGCTATTCTCTAGCAATGGTTCAGCAATCACATCATTCCTTTTTGCCATGTCATTCATCCCTGCCACGTAATTTGCCCCTGCCCCGTCATCGTCTTCAACCTCAATCTCTTCCAACTGGAAATTTACATGTCCATCTGAGACTAACTCTGCATCTTTGAGACTTTGAACTGAGCAGGACTCATCATCTTCATCTTCCTCGCTTGGCAATGTATACTTGAAATCTGAATTCATAAGTAGCAGGTTATTAGATGATTCCTCATCTGTACATTTAACATTATACACCACCCCATTAATTTTCACTCTAAGTTTCTTGGATAGAAATTCCATAATAGGTGTGGATATGAGAAATCCAGCAACATCCAGCCTTTTCTTCCTGCTTGTACTGTCATCTAGTGTCACAAATTTGCCCATAAATTTCCCATCATTTCAAAAAAGTTACAATTCCAGGCATGAAGCGTAATCCCTGGCACCGTATCCAAGTAAATCTCTCGCTAGCCACCGTTGTCGGAGTCCATGGCTTAAGTTCGTCAAACCATTGTCGAAGCCAATCTTCTCCATTCTCCACCAACTCTTTCATTTCATCCTGATCTGCACCTTCCAACAAGACGAGGTTTCCTCCCATGGCCCTAACTGTGCATGAAAAATACCCCTCCATATATAACTTCTCTTGTAAATTTGGTATGATAGCAACCGATCGTGCTGTACCCACATAGCAATGATTCAACCATGTATACTCTTCCTCGTTGATATTGAATTCCAGTCCGGTCCACTGCTCGGTTGAGTCTTTTGGCTGCCATACCCTCATATTGCCATTGCTCCTTTTATCCTCCATCCTCCTATGATCATCATGCACCCTTCCCGGTTCCCCTTTTTACTATGTCTGCATAGCTCACCAGCTTCTCAGTTTGGATACCCCTCCATTCTACTCTTCTATTCACGCCATCCTTCTCTCCTCCATTGGTTCTCTGTACCTTCTGATCCCTTGTCTCATATTTCTCCCTCTCAAATCTGGCCTGATTCACTTGAAGCTTGAAATTCCCTACCCATAGATCATTCATTTGGTTCTCCAGTTCCCTTGCATTCTTTGCATCAAGAAAGCGTACAAATCCAAATCTCCTGCCTTGCTTGTCCCGTCTGGAAGGGCAGTACATCCCCAGAACTCTTCCAAACCGTTTGAAATACCTCCACATCTGCTCATGCTTCCAGTCGGCTGGAAAGTTTGCAAAGAAGAAGGGGATTGACTGTTTGTATACTCCTGCATCACACCGATCGATCTGTCTACTGTGTCGCCGTCCCTGTTCTCTGAAACTCTCAAAGCTCCGTGCCGACTGCCACTGCCGTGATCCTCGTCCGTAGCCTCTTACTCTCTCCCGGCCTCTCTCTCGTTTTTTCAGGAGGAGGTTGATGCTTGAATTATAATAGATCAGTAGAGGCATTGAAAACAGTAAAAACAGCGAAAAGAAGATAACTGTAA